CCGCGCGGGGGGCTGCGGCCTGTGTGGCAGCAGAGCCACATGCCCAGCTCCTGCCTTCTCTTTGTCCCTGTTTCCTAGAGCTCTAGGCCACCCAACGGGGGCTCCCCGGGCTGAGAATGGTGCTGAGCCACCACGAGAGCGACCCGCAGGACGGTGCTGTGCCCGGCGCTCCTTCAGCCGCCTTTTGGCTGCCTCTAGGATGAGCCGCTCCGCAACTTGGGCACCTCGCCGGGCGGTTCGTTAGCTCAGCTGTCTTCTCTGTAACGTCGAGGTCCAAGTATCAGACATCTGCTGGGTGCTTGCATTTTTTTTGCAGAGCCAAAACAGCACTGGGTTCTTTGAAAGTTCAACTGAGGAGGAGCAAATTTGACTTGCTTTCAGCCAGTCAGAAATAGGCTGTTTATAAAATGACCAGAATCAAAAGCCAGAGCAGCAACAATCCCCAGTTTTTAATTGGAATGAGGTTCCCCAGGGAGGGAAGCTCTAGAAGCCAATTATCTTTTAAATGAAGACATTCAGAGTCTTCCCTGTGACCTGGAATGTGCTACTACATCCACACACAGTGGTATTACACTACCCGAAACTGTCAAACATTGGTTTCAGTACCTTTGGTAATACCAAAGTTCAGCAACTGTGTAAAGGAAACAAAAAATCACATTAAAATCTCTCATCTCTTTTTTTTTTTTCTTTCCCTTTTTAGGATTTCAGGGCAAAATATCCCACTGTTTTGCCGATTCAAAACAGGAACAGTATTTGTATACTGAATGTACTGCTTTAACTTTTGGCAATACTGTCCGATAGTGATGCAAGTTTAAAAACTCAGTAAATCTTAAACCAGAAACTGCACATTGATGTCCAGATTGAGGTCAGCTCCTCTCCCTGCAGCTCCCACAGCAGAGCCCACCGCTGCCCCAGCTAACGCAGCGGGAGCTGCCTCTGCTCCCCTCTCCCATAGCCCTGGATAGCAAAGCCCTCCATACTGTCTATCTGCACTAATCTCACTGGGTCTCTGCCTCCTTCTCTCTGATCCGATCCGAACAGCACACCTTCGCTCTCATAGCTCCACCCTTTCTTTTTGATAATGTTGCTTTTGCACTGCTTAGCCCTGTAGAGTGTTGTGAACTGCTGTTAGCCTGAAAGGTGCTACTACAAATAGTTGTAAATATCCATGGTGCATAGTTTCCTGCAATACCTTTTATCACATTTATGGATATAGCTGGCCCAGAAGACTGTTCATTTTCAGCCTTGTTACAAAAGACTGTTATACAGTTTTGCAAAGCAGTGCAAAGCTGAGAGGTGTCATGTCACCACAGACTTGTGGTCTAGCGGTCAATCAATGACGTGTCTTTCACAGCATTTTGGGCAGCTTTCCAATGCTAACAGCTTTAGGCTGCCCAGCTCCCAAAGAACCACAATGAGGAAACTTGCATCTTTGTGCACCGGAGAGTTTTTTTAAAAGACTCTTGGTAATCACGTAGCACAGGGGATGCTTTCCCAATTTGGGAATGTGGCTTGCAGCCAAGTTTTGCTCTGGGGCTATTCTCTCAGAGATGCTAGAGACTGTGCAGCACAGGATGCAGATTACAAGCACTCAGCAGGGCACGCACACTTGCATGAAGATTAGATCCCTGAACACCTGGGTTACATGCATGATAATGTAAAACAACTGATTTTTCAGTCTGATTTCGGTTTCAGAACTAACTGCTCATTCAAAGCATTCTATGTCATCGCTGTCATTATTATAAACATTATTCATACTTCAAATATTTTGTTAAAAGTTGTAACTTTTTAGTCTGTGTTAAAGCACAAATAAGCCTAGCACTCATGAAGTGGTTCATGAGGTTCGTAGGTTAAATGATGATATCAAGACTTACTGTACATGATCTGCGTGCTCTGCTGGCTAACAGGAAAGGTCTTAGCCTGATGGCAGCTTGTCATTACAGATGGAGGACCAATCTAGAATAAATGAGACAACATATCCTGTAGTCACAACAGAAAAAACGTCCACTTACAGTTCTTTTAGAGAGCTAAGTTAAAGGGGAAATATGACCGTGATGGACATTAGGCCATTAGCATCATGAAAGCTGTTCACAGAATGGGAGACATGGTCTTTTGGCTGGGGCACTGACTTAGCAACGTTGGAGACGCAGGTCTGGCTTTACCTTAGCATAGGCTTCCTTTGTCACCCTGCATCAATCATACAACTTTTCTGTGCTTTGACTCCCCATTTCTGAATTAAGTTTTATAGCATTGCCATAACTACATTGAAGAAAGACATGCACAAGTACATAGTATATATTTTATATACAAATGCAGTTACATGTAAATATCTCCAAATTTTCTAAGTCTCTTCAACAGAGAGATAGATATGTGTTTCAGCTGTGTTTTCCATGTATGTTCTTCTCCATTGTCTTTGTCACTGAGGGATAATTTTCATTTCACTATGTACTTTGTGTTTTTCCCAAAGGACAAGTTAGAAAGGGAATTCAGAGTGACTACTTATTCCTTGGTGGGAGAGGTGAGGCTTACTGTGGCAAGACTGAGGAGGAAGTGATAGGGAAGGCCCTGTGTTGTATTCAAAATTAGTATTTTCCTCCATCAGACATGTCAATCCTGAAACATCAAAGTCAGAATAAACAAGAAAAACCTCATATTATTCAAACAATGCTTAATCCTTGCAGAAGCATACCACCGTTCACACAAGCTGCTCAGGTCATCCATTTATTTAGGCAGCTATCAAAATCCTTTGGGGAGAAATGAGCAAGGGGGAATGAAAATCACTTTACAAACCCAGCCCATGGCACTAGAGAGAGCAGAGCAGCCAGAGTTGCTGCGGAAGGCAGTCCGAAAGCCAGGCCTGGTAACACCGGCTTGGAGGATGACATTTTAGACTGTACAAATGTCAGTCTCTAAAAGGAGCTAAGACATTCCAGAACAAGACCTTGAGAAGTTTAAAGTCTTGTGGCCTTTTGCTGTACTGACTACCAAAGGCAGTGCTAGGTTTTCAGTAAATGTCAGAAAGATTGGGAAACCAGTTGATGATCTGGTTTTTAGGATCTTAGATTTAGTACCTCCATGAGGGTGATAACAGCCAAATTTTCATTTTATAAAAGCCGAATGAAGTTCTTTAAGAAAAGATTATATTTCTTTCTCTGACTGTATCCCAAACACAATGAGTTGGGCTTGTCTTGGCAACTTTCTGGTCAATAAACAAGGAGCTGAAGTGCTCCTTCTTAGCCACAGTATTGCCAAATTTGTTGGAGTCTTCCAACATATAAAGCTAGTCTATTAGCTCCACATTACTCCGCTGGGAAGTACTGTAATTTCCAGAAGCACGTGTAGGCGTTTCATTCAGCCGTGGGAATTCGGCAGGCCAGTAACCAGGTCTGCTGCAGACCCAGCTGACAGGGCAGGCCGGGATGGTGGTCACCGCATTTCCAGCGTTACCTCACTGTTTAATGATTGTTTCACTGGAACGTTAGACGTGTCAGAGGAGAGAAGAAAGGCAGAGCTCTGCAGGAATCATTTTTCCTGGTAGCTTACGTAAGAAGCTAAGATGAATGTTTAAGGAATTGCTAAGATGGAGATGTGAATCTGCAGAAGTAACAAAGTATTAAAGCTGCCTGTGGTGGTAATTCCACATATGGAAGAATATGGCACACTGCAATGTCACATGGAATTGTGCTCTGAAACATTGCTGTGATGCCACAGACAAGCCAGAGAAAATATGCATATCCATCAGAACTGATTGAGAATTTATTTAAAACCCCCATGGATATTTTTCAGGAATACTTACAAAAAAAAAAACTGCATGAGGGTTATTCTTTTTCCACAACTTTTGAGTCTTGCAAACCTACCTATTTTAAAACTGATTCTGCTAGGTATAAACACATTAACTTTTACTCATTAAGGAGATTTTAATGAAAACATTCAACTTTAATTACCAAAAGTGTCTTAAGAGCAAAGTAGTAATTGATTCTTGATTGTTCTAATTTATTCGCCATCTTAAAAAGGTAAAATGGGGGACGTTAACCGTGACAGTAGCATGTGTTAGTCTTTCAAATACTGAATTATCAGTTTGTGAAAGTGGCCTCACAGGGCTAGAAATCTGCTCCTTGAAATACTGAGGTGTGGGTTTTAAGGCTTGCAAGGAAACAGCTTTGGCTTAATTTTCCAATCCTCTTCTGGACACCTGATGCTTCCTGATGCTGAGCACAGGCCAGTTCAAATAGAATCAGTGGGAGCTGGCTCGTGCTTTTCTGTATCAGGTCCAAGTGTACTAATTACGGGACCTGCAGGAAAGATAATGATCACAAACTGACAAGAAAATTATGAACCCAGTTTTCAGGTGGAGTATGTTGGTGGAGCATGTGGTCCGTGGAGTTCTGCCAGTTTACACTGGCAGGGAATTTGGCAGTGCTGTCATCCCTGAAGCTGTAAGAGTAATTAAGTAATATAGGATTATTTTGACATTTTTACAAGTTTAATAGACAATAATATTTGACTGACAACTTCAAATTGACATGTTGGAAGAAAATGGGACAAACTAAACATCTGCATCGAATTACAGTATAACTATTGTATTTTTTGTCATTAATTGGTTATGAAAACCAGACATGTAAGGTAACTTCCTCTAACTTTTTTGTGTTCATAACTTTTCCACCTTCTGGATAAAACAAAACAAAATAAAAAAGATCTTGGAGATAGTCAGGTTCGCATATATCTGCAGATGTCCAGCAGAGACTTGTGACTATTCTGTTATTCTTATTTCTAAAAATATTTGTTACTCAAATGCCTTCTTGTTGTGGTATTCTTGTTCTTGTGGTAGTATTGATAACAGTCACTCCATTGAGATTAAAATTAGTATATTTTGAGGATATGCTTCTATTAATTTACATGGAGACAAAGTTTAATGCATGCACTATTAAGTACATGCACTATTAAAGACAATTAAGTCCCATCATAATGTCACAAAGGACATTTTTGTATAAGCCCCTATCATATCCATACTTAGGAGCGAGCCTGAGTAAGGCTTGACAGGACATCAGCTCTTGTTGCCAGAGTCTCTCAAATATTATAAGACATCTTTCTCATCTTTCTTGTACATTTTTTTGTCTAATCAGAGAGTTTTTGGTAGAGTTAAGATTCTGAAGAACAAAATTGTTTAGAATTGCTATATAGTAGGCACTCTGACTAGCAATTATCATCTCCTATCTTCTGCAAAATACATAGCAATTTTGTTCAATAGTCGTTTCTAAAACTCACAAGACAATTGCTGTTTTAGTAACACTTTGTGTTTGATACTGCTTAAAACAATATAATGCAGCTTGCAGTAGAGAGAAATAACATAAGACTGAGAATCAGTCACCCTCGAGCATTGGAAGAGTCAAGAATTTGACTATTGGAAAGATGGAGTATTTTACATAACACATCACATATGACTAGACGAAGTAGTTGCAGAAACATAGTACATATAAATATATCTTCTGTTGCTGCTAAGTATGTCACTGTGGACCTCAATAAGAATATGCATAAATCTTAAAAGCTGGATTTTTCAGAGAGACAGAGAACAATAGGGCAGCTGGGATGTGACAAACTGGAGCTGCTGAGTTCTGAGTGTTTGTGAAAACTTGTTCTAAACTTTTTTCTCTAAGCTTCATGGAAGAACACCAACAAACAAACCCCTCAAACCTGGATATAGTACTGTATATCCTTACTTTTCACTTACCAATACCCACGTTCTGAATACTTTTATCTGTTCTTCATAGGGTGAAGAAACTAAAGCACTGACTCTTGTCCTTCATCGTGACTCTGGCTCTCTTGGATTTAATATTATTGGTGGCCGACCATGCATGGTATGTTAATTGCTAAAATATGTTCGCCCTTTCCCGTTGGGAAAAGCATGTAGGTCAACACTTAGAGGAAAAACACTGCTGACAAGTACTTGGTTTTGTTGGGATTCTTTCAGGGCAAATCTTAGATTCCATTTTGTATCAGACGTCTATTAACTATAATGTCCTTTCTTTCTTCACATATTTATTCCCACACATGCTCACGGCTAGCGTAACTAACGTTATATAGGTGCAGTGTCACTTCCAAAATGGTAAAACCCTTGGTACCTGTTTCTTAAACCGTACTGCTTTGAAGACGCTGCGTGAGCTCAGAGCCCACAGCTTCAGGCCCTTTACAGTTCATTAAGAAAATGTCACTTACTCTTCTTTCCACCAGAGGTTAAGCAGCCCTCTGTGCAGGTGAAGGGACATAACTTTAAAAAATACTTTTGAGTTCTATGATTTCAGCAGATGTTTCCTGCACTGTACAGTAATGTATTTCTTCTTGATGCTCGTTGGCTGGAGCTATTGCATATGACTTTAATTAGAACAAAGGGTAGATTTTAACTTGTCCTAGTAATTTAGAAAGTATTCTGAACTAGTTTTTGGGCTGTCAGAGTTGTGACATTAATTATGATTTATTCCTAATAAATTGACTTGAAGGTTATACTTTTCCTATAATTAATCATTTTTTAATTATGCTTCTGAGGCATCATTCTGTGCTGATAGAAGCTGATTAGACAATAGACAGGAATGAAGATGCCCTGTTAGCTCTAAGTTGTTTGCCACAGTTTTATTTTTAAACCTCTAGAGAAAGAGCTGTGCAACTAAAAATAAAAATGTATTGTTGTCTTATGTTTGATATGCAAGTAGGCTGCCATCTCACTGAATTTTACATTAAGAATAATTAGAATGACAACTACTACTGAGCTTGATTAAGTCAGAGAAAAATGATTACTGTGCAATTAATATACCTAATTAAAGTCCATTCATGCTTGTATAACTTCTTAAAATGTGAGTGTCAGGTGCTCTCATGAGTACATAGTAAGCCCCTAGAAACCAGTAACATTAGGGCATCTTTTGGAATATTTCTTTCACATTACACGCACTGTTGTGATATGGACAAGATTTAGCTTAGGGCAAATTGGAGCTAGTTCAAGGTGCAATAATATGTTTTTCTTTTCATGCTTAAAGGACAATCAAGATGGTTTGTCTAGTGAAGGAATTTTTGTATCGAAAATAGTTGACACTGGGCCTGCTGCTAAGGAAGGAGGGCTACAAATTCATGACAGGATTATTGAGGTATGTGAATACCCTGTCCAGTCTCTTTTAATAGTGTGAGTTCCATGTCAAGTCACCAAATGGCATGGTGTTTAGTGTGGGTTTAGGAGAAATGTACCATGGTAAACACTGTTGAGAAGACATGTCTGTTAAAATATGCTGGACTTGATTCAGTGCTGACCTTTCCGGCTTTAGGTATAGTTCTTACCTAAATATAGAAACCAGATTATGGATGGTATGTGCATGTCCTGACTTTCTGAGGAGCTAGCATCTATCTGGTATGCTGTAGTTATTTCTTTTTAAAGCTATTGGAAACTTCTAAGTTATTTAGTTAAAACCATATGTGAAATATCTGTAGCGTAAACCATGCTTTTATTTATCTTGCTTTCTAAGACCAAGGATAAAAAAAGGTTTTGAACAGTTAGAAAAGATCTGCTATGTAATTTTTGTATGGTTTATTATAAACCTGTCTAAGTAACTCCCTTAATGTTGTTTGTAATTCCTTGTGTTATGTGTTATTCAGACTCCAGTCTGAATTTCTTCTCATTTTGCCAAAGTCTTGACCTCAATAAAAAGTCCTTCCTGTGAGAGCGATGGTTGCTTGAAACGTTTTTCGTAAGCTGCAGTGAGCTTTACTTCTGGAAGAGGGAGGGAGGTTAGGTTCATTTTCATGAAACAAAATGCAGCTGATAGTGAGACAGTTTCCATTGTTTAGCTTTTTACAGTTAAGAAAAAGTATCTTTGCTGTCTTTTATTTTTGTAGACTGGAGAAACTTTGAGTCTATTGTTCAAAAAGATAAGTGCAGTGTTTGTTGCCAAGGATATCACGGAACAGCCAGTTTCTCTAAGTAATGGAATTCCATTGCTCTTATGTTTTGCAAATGAGCAATAAACAGCTGTTAGGGATTTGCTGTTGGCAGGGACAATGTGTATTTGGTATTTTCTGTACTGTTATCATAAGTTGTATTCACAATTTAGAAAGGATATAAAATATTAATTAGGTTTCTTCATATGGAAAAGAATGGAGCCACAGTAGCAGTACTATAATAAGTTGAGCTGTGAAATGATCTAGAATTTATTAAAGTCTATATACAATGTAACATACTTATGAAAATGTGTGGACAATTTTGTTTGAACTGAAAAATTTCCTGTAAAAGAAGAATGTATTTGAAAATCTGTCATTTAGTTCTGAGTAGTATAGAGTCACAAAAACAAAACAACTATATGGAAAAAAAAAACCTTTCTGAAAATCAAATAACCCGAAGTTGGGAAATGTCCTGGTTTTTCTCTGCAAACTTAATTCAGTTCTTCCTGAGTGTTAGCACCATAATTCAGTCTGCCGTTACGCAGTGATGTGGCATTTTTCCTGTGAAACTCTGCTTGGTGACGGCGCGGGAGAGCACCTTGCACCCCAGCATCTGGCACTTGCAGAACTAGGCTAGAAGTGGGGCAGTGCAAAGTCGTTGAAACGTATGTAGTGTATTCCCAGCTCCGGGAACAACTGTGTCATTCTGTATTCTGTGCAATTTATATTTAGTGCATTATAGTTAACCTTCATTGATGTGAGGAAACGGGTACCTGCATCAAGACATCTTAATATCACACTAAATGGCAATATTTAATTTAATCTAAATATCCTGTAAGTGGTCTGGAAGAAAATTCAGTAAGGTGCAATGATGGTGCCCTTCTGGAGGTAATTTTTTTGGTAACCATCCCCCTACCCAAGTGTTAATCTGGCAGTTAGGGGCGACTGGCAGGACGCAGCAGCAGGACTTCAGTGGGACATGGCACAGACAGTAAAGCATCTTAGCATGAGGGAAAGATGGTTAACTTAACTATCTAGAATAGAGTACACTGCATGTTTATTTTGATACAGTCATCTCATTTCACTGCGATTTTATGCATCACTATCATGATTTTAAACTGAATCTTTCATAAAGAACTGTCATTCCAATACAAGTCACTGAGCACAGCATTTCCAAAATTAATTTCAGGAACCTTCACAGTTAACTTAAAATTTAAAACTCTGATTATCTGATTACCTTTTGGAAAATGTTCCTATTACTCTGGGTCTTCTGGTGGACACATTCGGGAACACATGTAAAATAAAAGTGTCATTTCTCATTTTTAGAACTATCAAAACGCTTCTAATTACTGAGCATGACTTAATGAGCATAGTGTAAAATGTGCAAACATCCATTACATAGCACTATTTATTTAGCTGATAGCAAATGTATTGTTATATTGTTATTTGTTCGCAAATTTTGTTACCTGACAAACTGATAAGCTGTGAATTATGTCTGAGATCCTTTTAAAACCTATTTCCTTCTCTGATTTGGGACTAGATTTCTTGTTTTACAGCTTTTAATAGCTTAAATGCAAAGAAGTACATCAGGTTTCAGAACTGTCTTATATTTTCAGTAAACACATTTTTTTCCCTTGCATATCAGTGCCATTACTAATTGCATATTTCTACTACTAAATGATCTATATCAAGATCAGTTGCATGTTCTGTGCTACTTCTTGTCTTCAAACTGACCCATAACAGATATAAAAAGTATTTCCCTATTTTATTTTACACAATCTGTTGAATAATAATGATATTTAGTGATTTTATAATGCTGTGAAGATTGTGTTCACTGATTACTAATTTCACATTAGCCTTTTATAAACCGTCCGGTTTAGCGCAGTACTGTTTTTGCCATAGCAAACTGTCATGTTAAATACATGCTAGAACTCTAGATTTTTATTCAAAGGAATTGCTATTCTCAAAGATTCCATTTTGTCAGGGTAGCAAAATGGTGCTGATTTCTGCTCTTAGTGGAATTTGGTTCAAGTCCCAGCCATGAATGCATCCTTTACTCAGCAGCCTGGCATTTCCTAAGTCAAAATTAATTTCAGACTTTTTTTTGTTGTTGTTTTTCCTTTCCTTTCAAGCACATCAGTTCTGAAAGACTGTAAATTAAATATGACATTCTCTTCTAAATAACTAGAAAACTTGTTTACTTAGCTCCAGTGCTGTTTTGAAAGGAGACTTGTGAAATGCTGACTGTTTGCCACCTTAAAATTCTTGAGCACAATCAGGGCACTGTTGAAGTAGCATAAACTGTCACAGCTCCGTTGGCTTCACGCAAGCCGGGAGGATTTATGTCACCTGGGACTTGCTCAGTGCATCATGCTGCTTGCAGGAAGGATCATTAGTTCAGGAGCTGAGAACGTCTTAGAGCATTTGATTGATTTCTCCCCAAACCCACTCATTTGCTACCAGTTACAGGCAGTTTTTCTATTACATGGATTTCTTCATAGGCTGCATATAAGAACAGCGAAACCTTTTAGCACATGTTACACTTGTATGCTTAAAACCTCTCTGCCCTGTAGTGCGCGTGTTGCTTTAGCAGAGCCACTCTTTGCTCAGATGAGGTGATTTGCAGAGCAAACACAAGGTGCTCTCTGTGTTAACAGTGTCACCTCTGCAGAGTCAAATGAGCCCGGGGTAACCAGCAGCTACGCAGGAGCAGAGCAGGCAGGGAAGGGCCGTGTGCGAGAGCATGGAAACCTGTACGGTCAGAAAGGCCTGCGGCCGAGGCAGGGGCTGCTGGAGACCTCACTGAACGGAGAAGCATTTTGCCTGGTCTGCAGGCAATGGGCTAAGGGGTGGGTATGGGCGTGGGTACGCGATGGGCTCTGGGCCTGGCAGGGTCTGGGTACGGCCCGCGAGCTCGCGCGCGGGGACACGGCCGCCCGTGCGGCACGCGTGGCAGCCGCCTGCCTCCGCTTACTGACAACCCTCGTGGCCTCGCATCAGAGTTCCACAGAGAATCAGAAAATCTAACTATTAATTGAACATGGCCTTCAATTTATACTTTGCCAGTGGTCAGTTATTAAAATGCTTCAGTTTTAATTTGATAAACCTAAGACTGCAGGCTTGCAAGAGGCTTCCTGCAAGTAAGCACTAGTTGAGCTCTGATATGTATATAGGTTAAACAGATTTTTTTACTGACATGAAGAGAAAAGTTCTCCTCTGCAAACAAGATTTACCGTGCAGATCCATACACTGAGGAATTAATTTTCTGGCAGAAAAGGTTTTCAGACAGTCGCTTAAAATTGACTGCTCAAGATCCTGCCAGGACACGCAAGCATATTAGAACATTGCAGAGACTAAGCACAAGGGGCAAAGAGCGCAGCTGCAGAAAGTCCAGGTATTTTTGCAGAGTACACCCTAGAAGACTTTCCAACCCTTTGTCCATATCTGTTAATGACACCTTATAAAGTAACAACTAAACTAAAACATGTGCTAAAACATGCCTGCTATAACTTGATCAATATTTAAAGGGAATAGTAATAGCTTTAAGAGGAAAATGTAAACGAAAACTGATTGCCTGTGCTTTTCCTGCTACTGAAAGGGCTCCTCTTCACGGTGCGTATCTTGAGCTCAAGCCACAAGACAACTGCTGCCAGGGCGAGTCCGGACGCAGGACACCCGGGTAACAGGCGCGCCGCTCTGTCCCGCTCCCTCCCCGGAACTCCAGGCAAAGCAACAGTTTAATTGCAGATATTTTACACACAGAATGGGCGCAGTCATTTCAGTTTCATACAAATTACTTAAGAGCAACTCAGACTCAGTGGGATAAATCTCAGCCCTTTTGTTCAAACCAGTCTCAGTTCAGAGGCTCCTTCAGAAATGGATCTGTGAGCCCCAGGAAGAGACACCTGCAGAACTACCTGACAGTGTTTCCAAGAGCTGCTCTGCTTTTCAGAGTATTTGTTTCATCCGTGACTTTGCTGCTGCTCTTTGGCACTTCCTCACCTCATCAACATTTTTCTTCTGACAGCCCCCGTCTCCTTTTTCCTCTGAAAATGACTTACAATCCCTGCTCCTAGACAGCTGTACCCCATAGAAACCCTTTGATGGCCCTACCATGCAGAAATAGTTACAGAGAATGAAACCCTGTCCTGCCCTGCAGCTGAGGCTAGCTGGGATGGAGTTTCCAAAACCTTTTCAGAGGTACTGAAGAATTTTG